ATATCAGTTCTGTGATTGTCTGTTGACAGTAGAAGAATATTACACATTTTGCCGTTGCTTGAGATCTCTGATATCTGGGTTTGATATATCAATTTTGAGTCGTTACGTAACTATAAGTGCCAGTTCAAAAGAATTGTATGTTAGAATATTATAACTGATTTGAATTCATATTGTATTCGTATTGTAAAATACATATCTAGCAATATTTAAAATAGCGACGGGGACCTATTTGTTTCTAAATATTTGATTCTATATATAACACATATATAGCTGTTTGAGTGTCCTATTTATAGATACGTGAGCGTACTTTATGGTATTTACACAATTGATTTGTGAAAGCTTTGGATATGGTAGTGTTATTTCTCGTACTTGATAAGATTATAGTTGCATGCTAGAATTATTCCGAAAATGAACACATTAATTTTCACAGGCACAACCAATATGGCAAATTCCGTGTTGAATGGGTTAATATTTACCTGTGTGACAATTGTCATTAATATCAATTAATGTTGCGCGTGGCTTCTTCGTATCTCTTCATACATCTCAAATCGACTAGTCATCTCTTGAAATCTGTTTTGTATATTTCACGTTAACCTTAACTTTGTTTAAGCATGTAGCGCACATTGAGTAAATGAACGACCTTTGTAAAGTGACACTTTGAACATGTTCGTTTAAATTGAATTTTTATCTGGCAGGTTTGCCATTTGAATATGTCAGCCAAGGTCTGAGGTTGAGAAAGATTTATCTAAATTTTTTGTTTCTTGAAGTAATTACATCGTCAAACCGTTTTAAAAACAAATTAAGAACTGTCACATTTGATTTAAAGTGAATGAACATAAGTTAGTTCTGGCAGACGTGGTGGAGGTGGACAGTTATCGACTAAAAGAGATAGCAACACCTGATAGCCAATTGTACGTCAGTACTATTTCAATGCAATCAACATTTTAACACCGGTTAAGGACCAATTTCCAAATATATCGATGCAAGCCATTCCGGAGGTTTTGACTTCAGAGAAGTAGTGGGAGTGATAGAGAAATTATTCATACACCACCTTGACACGCAAAAAATAGACCAGTCAGGAGAGCAGTAATCTTTGTATACGTTATACATCCTGAAAGTAAAACAAATGACACGAGAAAATAATAAAATATTGATGGAACGCTTAAGCTTCTTTGTCTGTGCTATAGATTTACCGACGAAAGTCAATAGGGACCATGGAATCTTTTACTTGTCTTCGTAAACAATTTCCGCAATAGGCAATTTGTTGTTATATTTTAAGTACCGCTGATTTAATAACTAGTATGATACGAACAATGTGGCTAAAATGTCATGTCATTGCATCTGTCAGTTCTCGTATTGTATTTGGTGTTCATTTTTAGTATCTCATTACGCCGGTTTTAATCATTTTTAACACGTTACAGCATGCGTTGATTATGGATTTGTAAATGGTAAAACCCAAATGATAAATTTGATTATGTGCACGATAACAAGCACATATCTGACGCAACAAGAAGGACACACTTCTAATGAACGGCCTGTTGAGACTACTTTGGTGTTATAATCAGTTCAATTTACCAAAAGGTCAATAGGATGCAATAACAAGATGTATCGGTTTGTGTTAATTGGAGATGTTGACCTTTTAAGTGTTTAAGTTTTTAGGACGAAAAGAGCTGTGTATAACTTAAAACAAACTGGTGTGTCTGTCTTCTTGTAACCCCTTAACCGTCTCAGTTTTTGGGACTAGGTCAGTGGGTTAAGTAAGGGCTGTATGACCAGGAGTCATTGACGTCGGATATTTTCGTGTCGTCTCCTTCACAATTGGATATTTAGTCAGCATTTTATGAAACTTGAGAGTTAGAGCACAGCCAAGAAATGAATCATTCTGCATCCTACAGCTTTTTCGTCCTTCTAGGACTCGTCAGTGATGAAATATCAAAATATAGATGGGGAGGTGCACTAGCTGCGTAATTGAACCGCTTTCGTAATTCCAAATATCTGATAATTTAAGTACGAGTGTATATTCTGAACCGTGTAATTATTTGAATAATTTAAAACGTGTCATGTAGGTTACGGAATTTGAATGAAATATGATATTGACTTTTACATAATGCACAATTATGGATATTTACACTTGCGTTGTATAATGTCCAGATGAGTTTCCCAACCTCACTCGTCGTGTTTACATTTATTAACGCTTTACAATTAAGCAAGATAATTCGGTCATGACATTACTTATACCTTTTGTTAACGTGCGATGTTTTCTGAAAACCTGGCTTAAATGTTAGAGGACAATTAAAACATTAAGAGGAAATGATACATACAAAAATGTAAATAAAAACACCAATTTTAATTGTTAGCTCTTGTAACGGTTATGATGCTTTTCCTGTAAACGGTAACATTTCCTTTAGAAACAATTTTAGTTTTATCACGCTTGTGGGAATGCAAATCAAACCGTATTCCGGGTTCTTCCTTTATCAGTAGTTAAGTTCCGTATGAATTGTCGAAAAATCGTCTAATAAAATTTCACAATGAACACATCAGTGTTAACATTTAAAAGGTTTTCTTATTATCCTTTTAGTTGACTTTTCGTGTCGTGATTGGTCTGGTTTGCGAGTTTCGAAAAGTAATTACAGTTGTAGCTATTTCATTGTTCCGTTAGCAGCGGAAGATTATCATATTCATCAACACAGATTAACTTGTTGACAGCAACCAAGACCACATACATCGAATGCAAACTTGCTTTGGCAATGCAGTGATGATGCTAAGTTGAGTTACTTCATGAAATAGCTGAGTTCAAATATCTCAGAGGCTTCGCCTTCACAACGTTCGTCATTAATCTCAAAAGACTGATGGAGTTCGTTGGTGTTCCTAATTGAATGGCCAAACGATTGCCAGGGTTATGGTTCTTGGGTTGAAGTGCTATCGTGCGGGTGGTATAAATATGTACATCCTCTCACTACCAGATGGGCGCTAATTATGATTCAAACTTTGTCAGGATACTTTCAAAAAATAATGTTTACGTCCTACTGCATAGTCCCGAGGTTAATAAAAGATAATCCAACCCACACACATGAACAAGTTCTCTGGACCCTCGATATCATATATACGATCTGATCAGTCTTCCTGATGAAGGGCTGTCCACGTTTTATCCCTTGACTGGTTTTGACAACATAACTTCATGGCATCATATGCATTGTGACTTCACTAAAGAAAGAATTGTGTAGTGAAAATATCGCAGCCTTGGATCTTATAAAGGTCTTATTAACTAAGCACTGTTTTCACAAATGCTTGCACACGTATCTATGTAATGTGATACAAAAATGCATTTGTTTACATATATGATATGTCCATACCCTGCTTCAATTTACTGTTGTCAATATCGTATGTATAAATGAAGTATTTTTGTGCCATGATTTGTTTATTGAATAAACGTTACGTTATAACGCCTGACGTGTCATACTGTATTTTCGGTATCAAACATCTTTGAAATCCAAATCCATCCTACAAATTTCTTATTGGAAAGTTCTTCAAATTCTTAATGTTTGCAATTTTGAACTGTTGTACTAGGATAGTGCTTGCCAACACCATTAAATGATAACATTAATTTGTTGAGTTCACTTCTTAAGAAAAACATTACTTTTATCTAGGAATGTAATGACACATTTTATTAAATCTTTTCCTGTTTGTCCTGGTTTCTCCAACTTCGAAGTTGATATACCATTAATTTTGTATTAAAACAAAGTTTGAAAAGAAAGATTTGCGTAAATAAAGGGACGAGTCCACACGTTAACACTTCATTGAAGTTTTATATAGCAATATCTACGATTTACGTGTTCATTCAACTATATGTATATACATATATAAATTCTGCTAGGGATCTAATGGTGGCGTACTGACGTCGTATTTTGCGTTATGAGGTATTCTCGTCTGTAGCATTTGCTCGATATATTTGTAGATCAATCTCTATAAAAAAAGTGTTGCAACAACATGTATGGTAACAACGCATGCATGGTTTCTCTGTCTCGAGAGTATTGATGGATTTATTCATGTTTTTGTACAAATAGACGGTGAAAATAGTCCTCATCAATAGGTGAGAAAATGGGCTTTGATCTTAAAAGAAATAGCTACAAATCTTTTCGACCGTCAGATGCGTCTTTAACGAAGAAGTAAATTGGTCCCGACTATGCCTTACAAGATGTGCTTCTACTGTATAACAGCTATGGCTGACCTCCTCGATCTTTTGCCTGCTATCTGTCGTTTCAGATCAAAGGCTCTACCAAGGAGTAATTGGTCTCTTCAATGAGCACGAACGCTGGTCGGTGGTAATTGCGCCTTGCTTTTAGGCAATGTGGCGCAACTGTAGTGGGACCTACGTCGGGTGTTTTTGTTATAAATATGTTCCGTTCGGGAAGTGGATTGACGTATATATGTGTATTACCATGATATAGGAGGGAAATGAAAGAAACTGTAATGTTAACAGCTTATTTCTAATAAGCGCTTAAGTACATGGATTTCGTTTATTCCTGATTAATGACTTTCACAATGCCAAAACAAATAATTGATGATAACAATATGTCATACTTTTATTTTTCCAGCTATATCTGAATGAGACATAAAAGGAATGATTAAGGTCATGTACAAATTGAATGAAGTATTACGTTGTCCTCATGGTTTTATTGTTTATCGTATGTTTCTATTAGATTAAACCGAATCTATTCTTCGGGTAAAGTAGATTTATGTCGAGAATTAAAACCTGGTCATTGTAATTTACTATTATTATTATTATTTTCTTGTCGTCATTTTGATCGTAATCAGCTATAGAAGAGGCTCTTCCCATTGTGCGGCTTTACCAATACAATGGGTCATTGATTTCTATTAATATCTTTATTTTTAATGTATCTCTTTCACTGGTTTTCTTCCGATCACGAAAATAGCGAAAATCAGGTTCCTCGAAAAATTATCCTTAATTAATCGTTATATTTATACCTCTTCAATTGTAGAAAGCCAACAACTTTTGCTACTGTGGATGATGACAAAGGGAGGCACTTGTTTTTTGGACTCCCAGGAAATCCTGTTTCTGCTATTGTGACATGTAACTTGTATGTGATACCAGCCCTCAACAAAATGCTTGGTAATACCAACCCAGGGAGGACGGTGATAAAGGCAAAGGTGGGAGAATATTCATCCTGAGGTCATTTTGTCGACTTCCTTTATTTCTTTGTCAACAAACATAATTTGATATGTCTTAATCAAATGCTTTGCAGTGAGAGCAAATCTTGAGAATAGAAATATTTAGAATATATATGTTGCTGTTTCGTCTATAGAATTTACAACAAAACGGATAAGAAAAGTAATACATTAAATATATATATATATGTATTGAAACCATCAGAAAGTCATAAATACAGTTACCAAATAACCTGTATGCTTCCCATCTGATACCAGCGAGGCATGCGTGTCGCACCGACACAATTTTGTTTTCTTTTAATGAAATGTCTGGCCGCTGGTTTTGCTGTGCATGCGAAAGGTTAGCGACAAACTTGTAAATTATGCGACACAAAGATATAAGCTATTTTCCCGCTAATTTACTCATGACTGATCATATACCCATAACAATGCGATGGAAATGTATCTTATATCATACCTAACGATAGCAGGTCATATTCTTTATAGGTGTGTTTGTCATAATTGCTATGTCTTACCAAATATTTAACGTTAACGTAGATACAGTCAATAAAGTCGCCTTTGACTTTTTATACAGGACAAACTTTTAAAAAAAAGCTTCACCTTTTTTCTTTTATTTCTAATGTCGTTTTATTGAAATGCACTGGGTATCATTGAATGCGATGTATTCCCTCAAAATGTGTGACTGACATCAGAAATTTAACATTATACATTGTAATACTATATTTACCGAAACAGATGATAGTCAATTGATACAAGTATTGAAGAATTGTGTTGCTGCACCTTTTAACTAAACTCTTCCCATTCGTCCCTTAATTACATGATTTCATCAGAAGTCTTTCTAACCCAGTTTTTTAAATTCCATTGTTGCTACGATATATGAATGTATTGGTACCTACAACATGTTTTTTGTCAACTTACAAACCAGACTAACCATATAACGCCAATATCTTATCCATATATGATTCAGAGATGCATTTGTACCGAAAGTGCAAGCTTTTATGTAAGTTATCAAGAATGTCTCTAGTCAAAAGTTTCAAATGACAGAAAAATAATGATAATGAAATGTAAACGGTCGATAATCTTGTATTCACTAATGATCTAAATGATTGACGGCAAGCATACACAAAACATTGCCAGTGTAAGTAAATTACAAAATTGGCCCCCTGTTAAGTAATTACCTCTTAGATAATGCTATGATAGTGCCTGGTAAAAGGGTCGATATATGTGTTTTTTCTTTCTATCGTAGTAGAGTTTTGATGTTTTTTCGTGTCTATTTCACAAGAGAATCAGCCAATTTTGCTGTTTTATTAAATTTAGTTTGATTGTTAACACAAAACATCTAAGAAAGTGAAGTACTTTAATTTTCGAAATGATTAATGACTTGTCGAAACGAGGATAGGGGTGTTTTCCTCGCCTCGTTTCCTCGTCTCAAAGGCTTACATCAGCATCTTCCTAATGGGGTAAGTGGTCATGGAGTGACCTTCAAGTGAGTTACCCTCCGCGTGAGATTATTTCTTTTAAATAGACAGTAGATCATATAAAATTACGTCCATATGTTTTGCCATCATTGTGCTTTTCACGAAAAAATAATCTTTGTCGTTTAATAAGCAAAAGTTCTTGTTCCAATTTTCGTATTTCATGTCTTTGTCTGAGATCAGAAATCTCAAATACTACCGAGTCCTAATTGTCTGCAGGTGGGGGAGTGTTATAGTGATGGTTTGGCATGGGTAACAATACTGAGTTTACTGCAGAGAACATCTATGGCGAAAAAAATACTTGACCTTTTGGCAGGTTTCGATTAGTGGGAAGATTTGTCAAACATTTTAGAGCCCCGTTAAAGAGTGCAGCTTCATTACGAGGCGTCTTTGTAGTGTACAAACAGTGGGATGTGTTAAACTCCACATCATTCTTCATTTTTGAAAGTAACAAAATTTGGCTACACATGTCAATTTTTCAACTTTGGAGATCGTTTCGCGTAAGTGCGATCTTTCAACTTAGCCAGAGAACATATAACAGTGATCATAGGCTACATGTGTGCAATGACCTTGTACTGAATCCAAGTACAACATTAGTTTTGGTACTTATCCTAAAAGAATTATTGGAGAAAACCAGACGTATATCAAAACTAAACACCTTACATGTGCTTGTGAAATATCACTGATATTTTATCATGAAAATCGCACTGAATTCTTTATATGCAGTGCATTCGGATATACAAAAATGAAACAAAAATGTAAAAAAGAGCACTACATGGACCCCTTGAGACGGAGAGAAGAAATTTATGCTAAAAATGTCAGTACACTTGAGATGTTTTGAAATTATTTCCTATGCGAGTTATGCAAACAATGTTTTATAAATTAAAAAGGCATGTCTGCCACACCACAAGTTATTCGATACCGCACATAGCATTAGTAATCTCTCTATTTCAGACACGCTTAACAATCCTTGTGTCTAACTTAACAAAAACAGATGTCATATTTTTAACTCAATTTGGGGAAAATATTTTGATAACATAATAATCCTGCCTGAAAACAATGAAAAAAATTTAACAAATATGCGCACGGGTGCATGCGTGCAAATGATAGAAGTGTTTCATATAACATCTGTATATGTCAATAGTACCATTATTTTATCGACAGTTTAGTTTAAGGATTACGTCACAAGTTCTTAGAATGTAAAAAGTTGAATTTATATTTTATCATATTTGATGAGTTGGTTAAAAACTCCATATTCACTTTGTTTCATGAAACCTTGCAGGTGATATTGTAGGGACACACCTTTCCAAATAGACTGATTTTGTTCCAGGTATTTTATCCATACTGACTTCTGTCTCCTTGGCATCTTTCATCTCGTTAACTAAGAGTTGGGATTTTATCCATATTTATTATCATTGACATCATTACTTGTATTTTTCTTAGGTATTCTTTGTTTGTTTGTTTGTTTTTGTCAATAGTCAGTTCTCCTTGTGCGGAATAAATCAATCTCCTTCATATAATTTAATTATGCGTCTTTCGCATAAGAAATACTAGAAGGCATCGGTTGTTATTCTTTTTCCATGAAAAAGCATTGAACCTCTGTCGCTTTTATTTGCACTGAAATATGTTGTGGTCAGCTCTATTTACCGAAAAATATCAAAATATCTTTTCAGGATAGTGACGACGTCAAATGTCATGTGGTGTTGATATTTCAAAGAGATAGCATTATTAAGTGAACTTGTGATATTATGATATGAGTCCACCTGTAGATTTGACAGAAAGTAGAAAGCTTTATACAAGGGAATGCTGCCTTGGTCAGGTTTTCATTAGGGTTTTTCTTTTTCATATGAACACATTCATTCATATGTAATATGAAGTTTTTGCGGACGCCTAATACCTCCTTTGTGGTCAAAATCAATTGATAATTTTCTATTTCATCAAAATACTTACAAGGTTCGTGAAGAATCTTGTTTATTGAAAGAACATAATGATATAAAGAAACATATATATATATATTCGAATACACGTCCAAAAACATACGTTCAGAATATTACAGAAGTAAGTACATTTTAAAAGGTTATGACGAAGATCAAATGATGAAAGAAGATGACGAATTGTAAATTAATATGAACTATCTTTTCATTGTTTTAGGTAGAAAAAGATATTCACCTGGATCCTCGCCCAGAGTATCATCGTGTTTTGCTAAAATGGAACCCCAACGAAGACCTGCCTTATGCATATAGCACGGGAAACCAGATGAGCAGCAGGTTATTGAGCATGTCCACGGCCAATGGTTTACTTATGCTTCCGCCGCGTACAGAAGAAAGGACGGTTGTTTTGAAGGGCGAAACAGTGGACGCCATGATCATTGGACGACTTTGATACCTTACCTCAGCGGTTTCTTAGCCTCTTTACGAAAACGAAAAAAGTGCTTAGCACTAGTATATCAAGATTCTGGTACGATTTATGCAAATAAATATTAGTCAGGGAGAGGGATTAAAATCAAGTGCAGGTACAAGTATTGAATTGATTCACTGCATGTGACTATCTATGATTGCATGATGCGATATTGTATGTTAGCAAATTTCAATTAATTGTAAAGAGTTCCTTAACGTAAAGATGTGAAATTGTTTTTTTCAGAATGAATTTATTTTCAAATGAATCAATTGGCCATTTAAGCAGATACAGTAATACTATAGCTATTTGTAGATTAAATAATCAGATTGAATTTAATTGAATTGTCAGGTATTTATGTATATTTTCATACAGCAAAATTTATTTGATAGCAATGTATCTTAAGTAAATTTGAAAATTATCAATGAATCGCTTGTTGCGTATGATTTACAAAATGACACGAACCAATGTTTGCTTAATACTTGGTGTTATCTTTGTAAAATGTTCATCAGTATTCTATTCATTATTCAAACAAATATGTAGTTAAGTAATAACAGAATGTTCAAAGTATTATACGACATCAAAAACGTGAGGGAGATATCTTACATTTGAAAGCATTTAGAAAAGATCAATCTATCTCCGCTCCCGTGGATACACGCTACAAACAGCCATAGAACCTATAATTAGAACCCACAAGTGTTGGGATGGTATTCATGTCACAGCCGATAAACCGCTCGCAATCGGTTAGATTAATCTGTTCAATTTTCTGATTCCGTCACAAGAATAATTTCTTTTACAAAGTGACGTATAATATGAATGGGAACACTGAAATCCTAACAAGATCATGCCAGACGGTATCTAAATGGTTTTGGCAATGTCGATTGATTTGTTTTCCATTCAATTTCGTCGTTAATATACGTACGATATGCATGGCTTGAACATTGTATGCCTGTCTTGAAGGTTGCTCGTACAGTTTGTGTGTGATGGAGAAATATTCTAACGTACATATACAATCGCAGAGAGTCTGGCATGTTCTATCTCCTTTTACATGTAAACAATTGCATAACGTTTACTTCATGGACTAGAGTTACCTGCTGAATTCTCAAGTAACTTCCGGTTTGTTTTTAGAATGTGTTTGAATATATTTTCAAACAATATGCAACGGAATGTCAAAAACGTTTACACAACTGTGTTATATCAGAAAGGTTAACGACAGAGGTCAAGGTTAGTTGGATTTACTGCATTACATCCTATCCTCGTCGTAGTCAACCAGGTCTTCGCTGAATACATGGCTTTGATATGAAAGGTCGCTTTACCCTGCTAAGGCTTACTACACTGCTTTACATTAGTACAATACACCTGTAATGTAGCGGCATGCACGAACGAAGTGAAGACAGTTTAAGTGATAATCTAAAATTATATACCCTGCTCTAAACCATCTTAGCAGTATTTCGATAATAAGAAATATTATTTCATATCCAGTTCATAATTTGAGATTATACCTCATTAATAGTGGCTGGACCAAATGGAAAGATGTGGTGTTATGTTCAGGATAGACATGTATTAGAATTGTGTATGACATACATTAAGATTCACGTCTGTCGCTAAGAATTTGGAAGTAAAATTATCACCATAGGAATCCCTTACATCTTACGATTTTGGAAGATTTAAAATTCATAGACAAGTTTCATATCACAAGAAATATTAACTGGCGACAGACGTAAACATGAATGATGGTTTTATTGCTCCGATGAATGCGAACGTTTTCAAAGATAAGTTGAATAAGTCATAAAATGCAATATTTATATATTACATGAATTATCGGCCGTGTTATATTTATATAAGTTCTTTGATGATTTAAAGAACATACAATCTTAATTATGTTGCAGGCATAGGTTGTTGACGGAATATTACCTAACAATTATGTCCAAAATCTGTAACATTTTCAGTGGGTTGTTAGGAATCTCTCGAGGAACATAAGAATCTCCCATGAAATCTTTTTATAAAACAATATCAGCGTAAAAGTTTTTATTAGTCACTCGCTAACACATTTTGATTTACTATAAAAAGATCGATAGATTTCAACTTTATCGGGAACAATTTTCGTCAACAAAGACATGTGTCAAATCTGTGGTACATCCCGTCCTTCTTCGTCCCGGAAAGGTCTGAAATTGTTATAGTGAAAAAGGCTTACATTTGTATATGGAAAAAAAGTGATTTCGGAACATTGCCTTGTAATTGGAAATACCTGTATAATGGAAGCTCTCACAACATAATATATTTAAGTGTGACTTCTGGATGACAGCAGTGTCTTCTAAATCAGAAAAATGACCAGTTTGAATCTAAATCTTCTCCATGTTGTGTTAAAAGTTCTTTTTTTATGATATGATGTAACATTTTTGCCGATTACTTTTTGTAGTGTGGTACAGCTAAATATGTCAGCATATAGCAGCTCTGACGAGTAGGCCAATGCTGTGCATGGCAATGCCAGGTGGAATATCACTAATAGTTGCAGAGGAGGATTGAAAAAAATATTCAAACAAATGTTTATTGCATTTCCTTTGCAACGAAATTGGACAAAAATTATACAACTTATACAAAGCCCTGTCCCTTTTAAAAGAATTCAGATGGTTTTGAACACTATAAGATCCTATAATTGAGGGGTGGTAATGATCAATCTATCAGTCTTTGCTAGCTCATTTGACTGTTCCAAAAAGATCACTTCAGGGCATATTTGGGTCTACATATAATGATCAAACTTCTTCACACATGAGTGTCCGGCGGATGATACTTTAACCACGTACTAAAATGAGATGATAACTGCGCATGACAAGTACGCTTCATTTTTAAGGATCGCCAGAAGAAGGAAATAATTTTGTTTAGATATAGACTGAACATGTTTCGTTAGGGAGGGATGAAGCAGTTGGTCCAGGAATTTTGTGAAGAACTGGTCAAACAGAGACAGTACTCCTGGCGATACCATCAAATACCGATATACGTATTTTTGTGATGTTGTCATTGGTTCTTTGCCGGTAGCGCATCAGGCTTTGCAAGTTCGATTTATTCTCAGAGTGGTTTGTGTTCCTCGGGAAGGTAATACGCGGACATTTGATATTTCCTCGCTTCGAACTATCAATTTCACAGACCTGAAATGTCTAGGGCCAAAAAATAAACGAAAAAACCACGTGCCTGTCACGACCGAGCAGAGAAAACGTCGGTTTTGGATATAACTCGAAAGACAGCTATTGATGGGATAATTTATACAATTTTAGAACGAATGCCTCTATACCCTGGCTCGGATGATTCTATTATACTGACGCTCCACGGAAACTTCCATATGTTATGTTATGTTCTGACACACTTGTTCATATATTTGGATAAATAAATATATACTCTGTGGATCTGTTTAGTGTTATTTTACATTCGGCTCAGAAGGAAAATGAGAGTCAACTGACAATTAAGTTCCGAGATTCCATCAGGTCAATAAGTGGACATAATATATATCAAAACCTAGTTGTGAGATATGTATGTACAGTGAGACACAACGGTGTCGTGAACAGATAATCGTACAAATCCTGTAGTAAAATCTAGTAGAGGCATCACAAATTTGTAGTTTTATTCTAAAGGAATACAATTACATTATGATTTTCTAGCAAAAAAACAGACGAAGTGAAATACAGCCTACAACACGAATGTGTTGCTAAATATCGACTCTCCTAATTAAACCTTGTTGGTGATATTACGCTATGAGGTATCTGGAGAATGGGTCGTCGCTCTAGTGACGTCTTTGCTATAAACAAGTTATTGATATTTACATTAGGGAACGCAGTAGGCTGTAATTAGGAACTGTCCTCCACAAGATCATGTGTGATACAGATACGTCGTCATCAAACCAATGTTTTATTAATGTGGGAAATAAATCGCACGAGTCAATCAAATCTGTCTGTAGGATCGGCTTAGGCACATCCGGTTAATCAATTGGTGACAACTTGTATATTCTGATATGAATGTATATCTCTTTGTCCTTCTGCTGACGTAAAGCAGATGGACGATGACGATTTGGCTACTACATTGACCATTCGGAGTTTGTTTGTTTCATGTCTGAAATAAAATCAGCTTTTTATTCTTATTGTGTCATGATCCAAGGAAATCTCACGGGATTTGTTCTTATTGCTTCAATTCATACCTCATTGGTATTTCAGATTACGTCGAAAGTTTTATCACGGAATATCCAGTGATTATAACTATTTTCGTCTCTTCTGAATCATTGAAGGTATATTATCATCTTTATTTATGTCTTATTATTTTTATTTGTTTGTTCAAAATGTCACAATAAACCAAATCATGATGTAATGAACGATTTTACTCGCAGACCCTGGAATAGGTACTAGGAGAATAAAATAATGTGTCTTTGGGGGGGGGACTTCGTCGACTGTATTCATTACGGCATACCTGCTAATATTGGACACACCTTACTTCATTACACACAAGAAAAATGAAAAAAATCTCAAAAGATACCACAGGGAAAACCCTAAAACTTGCGTTGCAGGTGATAAACTATACAAGTAGTTGGTGGAGAAGAGCCGTTGAATACATGGATTTCAATTTAAAAAAGGTATTTCTGAAGTGTCATGTCAGCAAATGTCTTGTTATCTAAAGACAAGGGCAAATCCCTTTCCATGGACATGCTAAGGGATATCTTATCCCCAAATTCAACGACTATATTGTCATCTCGAAATCTTTCTCGTGATTTCAATCTCAACAAACAAACAAACACAAAAACAAAACAAAAACAAAAAAACGCCCTGGTCGAGTTTTCAATTATTATTTGTACATTCGTTCGCCGTTCTTTGAAAAGAAAACCTCTCATCATAGAGGCTTTCTGAATGGCATAGAGGCGTTCTGAATGGCATATAGTAGATTACGTAATCAGAACACAATTTCTCACATACAACACATCGATGTGTTCTAGTGTTTGTCCAAATTAAGTTTCTGTATCCCGATCCATGTAACCAATTTTTCGATCTTTCTGTGTCTTTCTGTAGCACTTTTACTACCAGATACATATAAAGCACAAGCGTTGGAATGACAAATACATTACCACAAGGAAAAATAATTACAACATATATATATATACAGCCGAGCACAATTTTCTTCTTAGCTTTTTCACTCTGTTTCTGCTACAGCGTACATGTTGTGGTACATGCCCTTCATCAAAGGTATATATGTGTCGGCATTACCTGCTTTCTATGTTTATAGCGACGGATGTTGTTGCCGCTGGACTACAAACTACACAGTGCCCGTTGCCGATGTCAAAAGGTGCTTTCCCATTTTCGGCCTCCGTGACGCTGAACTCATGGTAGTGCCTGGTGATGAAACGATCTCACCAGCATGAATGCCGCAGTTTCAATTGAGCAACCAAAAAGCATTTGTCAAATCACTAGAGATATATTGAGTGATGTTGCAGGCCCAAGTAGAAACCATCTGATCGAGTACTTCATGTAATGTTTGGTAATTTGAAGCACAGAACACTTTTGCCTTGTATACAAACGGCAAATGTAGTAATATGTAGCAACGAGGATGCCAAGACTGTTTCATCAATGAAGAGACATGCAAAAATAGCTCCTCGGCGAAGTGTTTGGTCTTTAGTTTCGGTGTTCATGTTAAATATTTTATGATTTTAACACTTGTATATCAACGAAATTGTTATCTATTTTTATCAATCACATCATTAAACCTATATACCAGTCAGTCCATAATATGAATTCTTAGGGTGTTTACAATGTGTTATTTGAATGGTATTTCATGTTTCACTTTTGGATATTTTGATATTCGAAAATGATCGCCCACGTCCCGTCATCATGTCGAGAAATGGGAGGTTTGTCTCATACCAGCAATCGATATTAGAAATCAGAAAGTATTACCCTCAGTTTTTTTTTTAATATGAATGATATTTTTATGGAAAACTTCTAATTGTGATTTTATTTTAATCGTGACGTCATATTGTATTATCATAAATAAATAATATATTTCATTCAAAATTTCGCCTGTGTCATCGGGGGGGGGGTAATTATTTTGCGTACTTTAGATTTAAGGCAATAACGTGTGTGTTGCATGAAACATATTCTAAAATCGTGGTATTCTATGCTGTTTTCAGAAATGTGCTTTCATTTACTTTATGTATATCTCACAGAGATATATTCCTCGTTCCGAGTCAATGGAATAATGTATCTTAGCGATTTTAAAATATAGATGAAACGAAAATTGTCAATTATCAGGACATTTTATCGAAATTGGAAATCTCGGACAGAACACACCTCTTTACATACCATCGTTATCATATAGGGGATTGACCTTACCCTGGTTCATACCGGAAATTGAGGAAAGAAACGTTATTTATTTAGAATTTGCACATTAATCCCGGAATTCAATAGCTATTTTAGAGAAGGCGTATTATATATCAGAGGATAATCTGTCAGTGAGTTTGTGGTTGTCTGGACACGAACTCTGATGTAATATGTTGGTCCAAGCTTGTGACTGGAATACTACAGAAGCTGACTCATCATAGCGCTGACCAAAGACATGTTTCTGACGCAACATGTAAGCTTAATGTATTTTTGTCTCTCCAATTTTCCGTTTTTATCATTACAGAAATTGTTTAAGTCGTGAAAAGTCATATTTCCACCATTACCTTAACTGGCATCTAAAATTAAGTATAGCTTATATATGTATTTTTCCTATATGTCCTAAAGTCGTTAATATATTTTCTTGTATATAGATTACATGCAAATGGATTTATTTGTATAAAGGTCCCCACTGCTTATTTCGTTGTTATAGAATAATTTAGAAATCATTCAGAACGGAGCAAAAGCTAAATACGAGGTCGCTGTATGATATCTCTACTCTGACAGCCGTCGTCTCCATTGATATCTTATGAAATCATGTTTTCGAAAATATGAGAAATTGACATCTTAATGCCAGTATATTACAAAATCTAATATTAGAAAGGTTTATTAGATTTTTAAGTCCTTGTTTTCTTCATTTTAGATACAACTATTTCCCCTGAAAAAAAAACCATAATGTATACTTTGTATGAAATTGACGCTAATTGTACCTTCATTTCCCTTATATTGATAACTGCCTGTTATTTGTTTCAAATCCTAAGTGCATTCTACGCATTACCTCATTGACTCCGATAGACTTTTGATCACGACATTTCCGTTTCTGTAGTTTTTACACTCATTACTTAATATGTCCTTTCCTGAGTAATAACCATTTATGTTGGTGCCATAATTGCTAGCCATTTCGGAAATTTTTTTTTTTTTTTTTCCTTTTCATTGTTTCTGCGTTAATGTCATGGTTGCCCATAGAAAAATCATGATTTTTAGAAATGAAAAAAAGAAAGAAAACCAATACTTTGATTATTTTAATGAAACACAATAACATTTTTTGACATGAACTACGATAAAAATGGTAAGAATTTTGTATTTCATAAATGTCGAAGATTCTAATGCTGTATCTATCAGTTCCTGTTTCTCTGTACCTTGCTCAGTGTGATCTGATCTTACGGGGTCGAAAAGTTGTAATAGTGGACGTAAAGCCCTATAAATAAATAAATAAATAAATAAATAAACATTATTCAATCACAACGTCTTGCTAGTTCCAGCAATCAGGAGCGTCATTATCCTTCTATACATAATACTTTAATTAGCTACAAAACATACAGAGTGACGTTACGGAAACGTTTGCGTGAATCCTCGATCACGTGGTTTTGTATAATTGGCGCTGTTCGTAGCCTATAACTATTTGTTACTGCTGTGACCCCGACAATTTCACCATAGCAACATAATACATACAGACCAACATGTTTCCTTCTTCTTCTTTTAACTTTTAACACTTCACACATTTACAGCAGGTGGAAGAAATATGAAATGGTAGAAAGAAAAAGATGATTGCGCAGGTTAACCAAGATGGATATGTGTTTCCTTTTTACAATAGCAATATATTTGTAGCAAAAAGTACGCATTATCTGTTTTTCATCTTTTGTATACAATCTCACTATAATTTATTGTTTGGTATCTACAAAGCAGTGGATGTGTAGTTCACCTGCAGTTGATTTATATTGCATTGCAATTTCGCGTATCATGAAAACATCCCGCGCTAGAAAAAATCTACAGCAATTTGTCAAAAAGTTTTATGTACAAATATATATTTCTATAAAAATGGCGAAAGAATATTGCCAGCTTGTAATCTACCGATTCTCCTTCTATGAAGGTGATTTTTATGGGTTGTATTTCTCGTAATTTGTATCTGCCTAATGAATTTGTTGATGCCGTGTGTCCCCAGGCAGATGTTGCTTAATTACGTTATCGTATTGTCTTGTTCAAAGAATATTTACTGTCTTACTGTGGACAACTAGGGTTAAATTGTGGTTACAACATCTAAAAAAGAAGACTCAATATATACTAACCGATCCGTTCATAACACCATAAATAGCAAGGTAATGACCAAGACTCTTCAGTTTGTCGGAGTGTAAGGTAGGGATATTCCTCCGAGGGCGTCACAAAATGTCGTAAAATACCGAGGATTTGCCAAGAGGTTTACCATATTTTGTGACCTCCAGGTTGAAATACTCCGTCCTTCCTCGCGACGTATAAAAAGTGTTTTTCCCCATCATTTCTTGTTTTTTTATAATGGGAAAAATAGCTTCAGACATCGACAATGTACTACAAAGGACGCCATATTACACAAAAATCGTATCTTAATTATGCAATTAATTATCAAATTGCCATAGAAAATTAAACCAAAATATAAAAAAGTCGCTGCAAATAACCCTTTGCATGCAAATGTGTAAACATTGCTGAAGGTAAAGACGTCATTTGGGAAGAAACATATCACATTTCTACGCGCGCGTGCCTGTATTTCATGAGTGGTTGTTAAATCCAAGAACAGTGAACCTAAGTGTTTTTCCCTGGATAGACCAGCAGTACACGGGTAGGTATGAGAGAAATCTATATACGGTCAATGCCTGTCATTGACCTGCCATGACGTCATAATGTTGTCGACACCTCTTCATATAGATTGTTCACATAATATGATATAATATAATATATAATATAATTATGACGTCATACCTATTGCTACAACTATGACTTAACACTTGACATAATGTCTGTTGTGTCATAACGTCATAAATGACTTACGTGCAGTTCAATATATAAGAATCTTTCGCATTTTAATCAATGTTTTACATACAGATTAAGCCTATATGTATTGATAAACTTTAGTAACCTATCATCATTTTTAATCAAGAGCTAATATCGGTCCTCTCTTTTTCTACACAAAAGTATAGCCGATAGTGAATTACCTATAATATAAAATTTGAAATGATAATTAATGAAATTCACATTGCTACATTTCCTTACGATGGGAAATTCATATTAATTATTGATTTATTGATTTTCTGTTTTATTTATACAATGATGGGATCTGCTGGTTTTGGAATATTAAAGTTAGAACTTCATCAGAGGAATATAGGTCAGTAAGTCAATGTATGATTAATATAAGTTCTACGTGTCATAAGTGATGGTATATTCCGACACATGGAAATCTTTATAAATGATATCCAACAATTTATTATATAGTGTATAATTTTAAAGAGTAAAACATGTCCTCAATTTTTCTGTATTGGAAAACATTTTTAAAATGGAAAATGAACCGCTACAATCTTTTGAGCGTATCCATGTACTCAAGCAGAAAAAGTAGATGTTTTAAAATTTCGTAAAAAGATAAAGAGCGATGTATTTGGAATATCATATTTTCTCTGTGCATTCATTTATTTTCTATATAAATCTTCTTCAATGAAATATAAAAAAAAAATATGCATTTGTGTGTGGTAATTTTGCGAAGGAAAATAAAATTCATGTTGCATTTTTCATCAACGTAACTATGAGAACAGTGACTGAATGACGAAAAACAAAAAAAAACACGTTTTTGTTCACATTCTTAAATTTTATTCTCCCTTAAACCTTAAAACAAAAATACATACATCACTGAAATATATAACTGTCCTGTTTATTTTGATTACATCTTCTTAACAATCTAATTATTTGTATGAACATACTAGCTCATTTCGTATTCTTCGCTGATGGTGTACGTATTTACACTATATATATATGTTTATATATATATATTTATATATTTATATTCATTGTTATAGGGTCTAAAATAATAAAAATAATGACAGCACTTTGATGCGGTGAAACCAAATCCACATAAGTATACAGAGAAGTTTACATCAAACACAGGAAACCCTGAGAAACAGGTGACAGAAAAATTTAACAAGGCGTCCGACCAACCGTATATGATCCCAGAAAGATAATCATACATCTACATATATGGATCTGATGTTTCAGGTGTGGTTAGTTTCCATATTGACGTCACAATCCACTTTTACTGGTCTTTGTTTGATAAACAATGAAAACAAAAAAAATATTTCATTTCTGGCATGACAACCATTGTCCTATTTTGGCTTTAATTGGTTCTTTAAACGTTAACGAATGCATTTTCTCCTATTTTATCGCAATATGGCTTCTCTAACCAGACTCTGAACATAGCAATCCAGGTGAAAATTGTCACTTCGTCTACAATGTGTAACAAAAATACATTATCTAGTATATACATCGAATTTTTAAATTACCTGATATGAATACAAACATAACGATACGTCTATCCTCAGCATACCTCCTAAGGGGGAGGCGCTCACAATGACCCACTTGCCCAGTCTGTACCATACACCTTTCGCTCGCCATTGCACACGTCTCGCTTTCATCTGCGTCCCTTTCAACCAATCATCAACATGTTCTTTCCTGTTCATTTGAATGATCATATATTTTACGGATCATCTGTATAATTCACGCGGCAGAGCAAATACATAAATGTTTGGTCGTTATATATATAAACTTGTTTTATTATTTTAAATTAAAAATTTTCAGACGTGTTTTTGTAGTACTCATTCGAAAAATGATAATGACGTAAGTTTCTAAAATAACCTTGGTTGAATAGGTATCCCTAAATTTTTATGTAGTCCGAAATATTACATCCTTTTTTGCTCTTGGTAGTTATTATACAATAGATAGCATCAGATTTTAAATGTCGTAAATGATAGGGATTTTAATAGCGGATATTTGATTCTTTGTTGTGCCTCAGTGTACTCTAATATCATACCGTATGACTTGTAATTACATATTAAATTTCAGTTTTTGACTAATGTTTTTCATATCAATAATTATTTCAAAATGCAGATACTAGAGAATTAAACCATTAAGATATTTTTAAAAAACCAATATTAATGACAAATAATAATGTGACTAACATGTTGCTCTTTCTCTTTGTCCTGAACCGTTCGAGAACTTTTGAGTAAATATAATTTCTTTCACTCTTTCGTTTTAGGATATAACAACAATGGGGAATATGTAATGTGTCCAGCTATCTATGGTTGGTCCAGTACCAATGAATCCAAAGGCTTTGACTTGACATATTGAAAACAAACTTGCAAAAACACATTAGATATATTCTGAATTTCAGAAGCAAAGTAAATAATTTACTCTTAAGATGTTTTTGTTTCATGGAGATATACAAGATGCATATACATATATAAATACTTCTGTAAAATTGATAATCAAACTCACAACCCATAACAAATGCGAAGCCACAGAGAATTGTAATTTTTAGTATTTGTATTTCAATTTTTAGTGTCGTAATTTCCATTCAAAATGAGTAAATATTGCCACTTTTATTTGTAGAGCAGAAGAGTGTTCACCTTTATTCACAGAATATTGATGATACATATATTCTTGCCGTTCTTTAATGATACTTTCTTTGCCGCTGGCAAATGCCAGTTGTCAAATCTTATTAAGAACCTCAAGGGAGAATGGCTCGTTTACAAATGAAAACAATAAACTTTTATCTATTGGCTAAATGTGAAATCAGAAGTGCCAACAACATACGCCCTAAAGCTGAGCTTTAACCTGTTCGATATTGTTATCTTTCAAAATCGCTAATATATATATATATTTATATATAGATAAGAAGACTAGAAATACAATCATTTAACAGTTAGTATACGTTTTAACACTGTCACTGATATTTATACTGGTCGGTGAACTCAAACAAATTTCAAAATACAATGTATTAATATATATGTTCCATACGGACTGTGAGATAAACAACCGGCTGAGAAAAGAAATTGTAAGGAAAATTTGTTGAAGACCGGATGTTATAAAATACTACTAACAAGAATGGAATAGAGAAGGATATCTAGGGTTTACAACATTTCCATATGACAAGGAGATTTGGTTGATATTAAACTATTATTTCAAAGCAACGGTAATTTGTATGCGTTTTGGTAAACCTCTATTACAGTAATATTATAAGTTGGCAGCAGTAATATTTAAAGGCACCGCGCAGATCATTCACCATTAAAGATAATGCTCAGCTAACCCTTACATTCGTTTAAATAATAGTGTGAGTAAAAACTGAAATAGTAAACAAAAAAAGTAACAAAAATTGGTTTTTTACAGAAAATCGATTTCAAACTTGTCGGTTTATTGAAGTTGACAATTTTGTTGATTTCCAAATAGTTTGCTTCATAAGATAAAATATCTGACCTGAAAATTTTACTCAATATCGAAGTCTATGTCATATGGATCCTGTAGTGAATAATGGCCAGGTAAGTACCATAGAATCTGGAATATTTCGATAATTCTGATTTCTTTAAGGATTTTACATATAGTTGCATCCAATTTGACATATTTGATATAAATTATAATTGTTGCGAATATGTTTGTCTTAAAAGCTTTGATGGTATTACTTCACTTATAGGTTCTGCCCTATCATATGTTTCCTTGCTACGGTTCCCAGTTTATGCCAGCTTCAGAAAGGTTGTGTTGTGATCTTGACCATTATATAGATATGTATATTTTCTAATTATAGATACAGGATCGACAATGATGATAGACAAGAAAAGTTGGAACAGTTCTGTCCGTATTTTATCAAGTTACACAGTGTGGTCAAGGGCAGCACACCCTCTCAGGCATCATGGTATTATCACAGGGATAGGAATGAAAGTTCGTAAGGGGAAAATTACTACGCACGGTGCTATCGCCATTGTCGTAGGATATAACAACCAGGGCAAGACATTGGACAACGGTCAGCTTGGATGGAAAGTAGATGCATTGATTTTGCCAAGAGGATCCTCGTCGATTCCTTGATGATGGAAATTGCCTAGCGTTATGAACGAATCTAGCTGTCATAACTTCAGTACCTGTTACAACGTGTGTTTCGTATAAAGAAGCAAGATGGTTGCTTAAAATCCTATTCAGTGTTGAATATTTCTCATTATGAGAAATAAAAAGATTGCCTAGGTTTCAGAGAAAAACCTACATGTGTGGCAACTTCCTCCACTGGTAGTATTGTGCATGTGCAGTACGTCACTGTGATTACTTTGACCTCACATAGCGGGACTTACGGTAATACCCATGTAGGATGTACTGGTATGGTATGTCTTGTATATGAAATAAAATATCCAAGGACTTCAAATGACCGTTTTTATCACCAGTAATACCTACATGCTCATTGTGTGTGAACATGGTCTGTAAAGAGAATATCTGGAGTTTTTCCACCACCACCACCACTACCACCATTGGCGCCAATCACCAACAAGACACGTGACAAGTTCATTAATACGCAAGAAGAACTGACACCGTTACGATCAGCCGTGCCACTGAAAAGAGAGCAAACAAAGTTGTATAAACAGACGTAATACAATAGCTGTGCTGACAGATGTACGATAGTTGATAATGAGTAAAACATCACCAGTATACTGTACCAGTGACCTCTGGTACTGCAAACATACATATATACTTTTTCATTAAAGCTAGTGTGATTTTGTCGTTACCAAAAGCTGCAATCTTGAATTATATTCTGAGGATATTATTATTCCATATGTTATTATCAATCTTGGATACATTTCACTGACAATATTTGCTAATTCATTCAATCTTTATTCATTTATTTATCTACAAATTATCATTAAAACCGAAGATACCTCTATTTTTTAACGTAAGGATAAAAAGAACCAAAGGCTAAAAATAAATGTGAATAGAGGTATTGTTGACTGATGGTATTAAATCCAAACAGCTAAAGACACAAACTTAATTTGTTCCTGGTCTTTAGTCGGTTTATGTACCGTTTTATGTTTATGTGTTATCCGTATAACGTTTTTATGACAATGTTCTTGGTTTTTTATAAGAAATGACGCTCCCAACCCAGGTATAAAGAATGGTATTAAAGTTTCCTTGATGTACATATCAAACAGACTCATACGCTTTTACTGTTAAAATGAGAGGAATAGTGCCACTCATATATGGGTTTTAGGGCATGCCTATGCTATATAAACACTAACCATGTATCATATTTCAGGATATGATACCCTGTTTTATATCACAATCCATATCATTGTTGGTATATTGATAAATTATGTGAGAAATTCTTTCTATATTTGCTACTATTGTCAGTTTTAGTAGCATCTTTTCTTCTTAAATCCATGTTTCTGACTTTTACATGATTGATACATGCTGCGAATGAGAATTACTGACAATGAAGACGAGATCTTCATTCTAGTATTGCCATTTCGGAGGAGAGTTGGCCCCATATGGGTATGTGATGAGATTTTACATAGTGGGATATTTCGTTAATGCTAATAACATATTTTTAATGGTTAAACGTCATGTGGAAAAAAAGAGAGAAGAACCAGTCTGAAGACATTTGCAAACAGTCGTTTGAACTTTATAAGTAAATGTAATGTTTCAAAAAGAAGCAGTTCTGAAAGAAAACTTGACTGCATCATGAAAGTATTTCAGTTTTTCGTGCTATTGAAAAAACATTTTCTATAAGAGCAATGAAAGCATTGAAGCACAGTACATTATTTCCTAAATTTAGAAAAGTGGTTGCAACTTCTGTGATTTTTATTTTTTTAATATAGGAAGAATGATCTGTTCGTGACAAAAATGGCAGTGTTTGTTTGTAGATTCAGGTATACATTAGCTGTTCTTTGGATAGCTGTCATGTGTTAAGACAATATTGCGTAAACATGTAAATATCGTTACTTCAGAGTAGCAGACGCGGTGATAAATATTGCCGCCGATCCGTCTAAAAGACTATTCCAATTTGTTTACCAAGACAAGCAATAAGTTTAGCGTACCTGCCGGTGAGATGATACGAATCTATTTTTATTAGATTGTACAACAGATACACTAGTGACACACTTTCAGTACACATTTAGAGTTAGATGCAGTTGAATCAAATAATGAATCTGCATAATACAGCTGTTTCATCCCTCTCGGACACGCGAGATAATTGACACCTAAGACATCTAGAGGACGACTGCGGAAAAAATTCAACTCGGAATAATTTTTCTAGGGCACATTTCTTTCACTAATGCTGAATAATTGTGTGTATGCTTAATTGTTATCTAATGTTAACATGGAGGTGCTATTTACTGAAGTGTCTTTAGTAAAATCCATATATTCCTATGTGTGCTATGTATTGACATGTTTTATCTATATTTTAAAGAAAAGTAATCTGCATTAGAGTGATACTTACTCCGAATGAGAAATGCCTCCTGTGATCATCACCCATTCTAGTGTTCATCTGTGTCATCAGGTAATCCACGTCAATCATATCACACCTGATGCCTGTGTATGGGATTTTACACCTGAAATGCAATTAGAGAGTTTTGTTAAGTAAACGTGATGAGAAATAAATAGTGTTGATTACTTAATATTGGCAATATGACACCTACTAAATTTAGTATCAGTAATTTTCATGCCTTTCGTTTTTTATTAATCGTATTTTTTCTATATTTGTTCCACGATTTGTGAGAATCCATGAGGTAGCAGTTTACTTGACCTAGATTAAGGACCTAGATATGCAAACCTCAATTTGTGTTATTGTTTAAAGCTTAGTATGTTTACTTTTACTTGTATTAGGAAAAACGACATATATATATCAGACAATTTTTTTACAGAAATAATCTTCTATGGACCAAACTCAGTCTTATACAGCATTCTGGTATACGATTCCACTAAAACGTGCAATTAGGTCATCACAGAATATATATATATATATACATGTGTGTATTCTAGAAAATCTTAATAAATGATTGAGAAATTAATTATCTCTAATATCTTATATACTTCGGAATGTCAGTAAATCGCATTTGTAATTGTATTAGGAAAAAGTATTGGCCAAAAAATTAATTGGATGCTAAATGTCGTGTCTGTACTTAACGGTGCAGAATTACGGTGATCAGACCGATGAAAACCATAGATATTTCTGGAACACGTGTTGCAAAAAGGCGTTGTTAATGTCAAACATTATGTTTAAAGTATCATAAAACGAATACACCACAGGTTGTTCATTTTGCTCATCCCTTCAGAATGCCAATATCTAATTAAAAGAGTACTAATACTTTCAGCAAGGCGGTTTCTTGGATTTCTACCAAACCATTTACAGATGCAATGTCTAGAAATAGTTAACTAAAATATATTCCTGAATGTGTTTCTTTCTCCCCACCTTTCAAGATATTGGAAATCTGGAAGAGAGGTTATGCGCCATTGATAAGGTAGGATAATCATATATGACGCCAGTTATAATAAATCTTGTCTAGTTCACGAAAATATTTATGTCAAAGATGATTTTTGACTTTACTGTCAGTTATGCTAACACTAACCACAAAATATTGTCCCGGCGACAACCGCAAAATATCAGCGACCTATAATACGAGGTCTACAGTAAAATTCCTCGACTTCAAACAAAGTATGTCAAACAACAACAAAAGGACAAATTTGTATCATCTGTAACTTTCCTGTCAAACCAAGTATCCTAGCCGATATTTATATCAACCTAACGAGACAGAGAAACCATCTAAATTAGGGATTTCATATAAACACTCACGACAAATGAAAATAATTGTTTTATTTACTGATATTTTCCACTGTGTCATACGTAAACATACTTGAAGGAATATATTACATTATCATTCATAATATCTTATGAATCTTTTAAAAGCATAAGTTTATTGAATAACCGTTGAATAATTAAAACATTTAGGCCATTCATATTTGTTTAATATATCACTAGATGATTAGACTATAGGGGGACTGCAAAATTCAAAATGCCACACAAGAAACAGCGCAGTGTAGGGCCACCAGATCGCCATATGCTGATTAAATTATGCGACTTCAGTACACTGATCGCATACCATGGAATGACAATAAAGGACGAGATTGAGGGATTCAAGCCAGCGCGTTCAAATTCCATCATCAAAATGCTCTCATCTTGTTGTAATTTAGATAGACCGTCCTTCATATATTCCTCTCTATACTTATTTATGACCCTTTATTGGTGTTTGGATTGAGTTTAGCTATATAGACAGCCTTTACTTCTCTACATTTTAATGTACTTCAATTTGCTATGATATAGCAATATTCCAAAATCAATTGAAAAACATGCATTCCATTCAAAAGTAAGTACATTTGAAAGTAGTTGTGAGAACCCCATATTTAATATGAATATCTAATATGATAATTGAGATGTAATATTCTTAAATGGAACCATTTCATACTGTTACATTCTGATAGTCATTTCCTTCACCTGTCTACATTCGTCAAAAAGTCTCAGATGAATATCAATTTAAATTTTATGTTTCTTCCCATACTTTATACTGCTTATATTATGTGAGGAATTTATCTTAGCCATATTCCGTGAAATGTAAACCGTCAAAGTCTGGTTTTTGTTTGTGTTTTTGTTTGTTCTTTTGTTGTTGTTTTTTTAATTGATGATTAGTACTATGGACAAGTTGCGCGAAATTAGAGTTAAAATAATACTGTTGAATTGCTACCAGGAATTCAAATGAGTTGTTATGTCCTTTTATATGTTTTCAATGGGAAGGCTTATGTTGACGAATATGATTCATCGGAATTTTTCAAAAATAGATTGAAAATATGTTCATGACACAAGCAATTTTATTCAAGACGGCATTGAGATAAAGGTGACCTCAGAGGAAAGTAATTTTGTAATGTGAAACAGATCTGTATCTCAAACCAATTTATAGTTTCCCTTTCATGAGTTACATCTCAGATCTAACAGTGTAACATTACAAGTTTGACATACATCATTCAAAGACAGAAGGCAAACGCTTTTTTAATGAATATTCTCGTTATTTACCATGTTGATCTGTCAGTAATACTTACGGAATAAGTTCTAAGGAAAACCCGAGGTTACATAGATGATGATAAAAAGCAATGTCCGTTTTTATTTAAGTTGGTGAAATTAATTGCCACTAAAACGAGCAAAGACATTCTGTTATCTTCGCTGCCAATCTGTTGACGGTTTCCAGTTTAGTCTGTCAACGATTTCCGTATGCAGCGATATCACACGACGAAGCCACTTCTCCGATCCAAGCACCACTTCAGACCCTTAACGCCAGTTCGCCGTGTTCCTTTGTGATATTATTTCAATGAAGTTAAAGTAAATCTAGTTAAAGATGGGTATTGAAGATGGCCGTAGAAAAGAGAGAAAGAGAGAAATCTACGGATAGTGCTCTGCTAATGTAGAACAAAGTAATGGAATTCGAATTACATATTTGCAAATTATACGTGCCAACAAAAACATATTTCAGGTTTTTTTTATCATCTTTGCGGATTTTATATTTTTTCATCTTTGAAATTAATATATAGTTCTGACTTTTTTATAATGTTGAAGTAGCTTTCATTTAAACAGAAACTGTTTTGTTTTAATTACGACTGAAAAACAGCTGTAACGTACACGTGTATACATGTATATCATGAACGTGTTATACACCAACGTAAACACGATATACTTATGAAATTTATTTCAAGTGTCAACCTCTTTAATTTCTTATCTAGGTCAACATGTGTGATTTGAAGATCGACATACTTAGCATGTACTTGATCGAAACCTCTTCCGTCCATGAGCATACACATGTAGTTCATTCCAAAGGATATACGAGTATATATTTTTTCGTGGCTGTAACTTACATTATTGAGGGAGCTGAGAGAGGTGTGTTATATATTTAGCAGTTCTTTGTTGCCAAAACAACCAAATTAAACCATAAAATGGTAAACATATGTGAGTCACACTCTTAGAACCAGCGCCCTTTGAAATCAAATCCGTTCTGTTTGTAAAGCAAGATTCTTTCTTTCTACCGGGTTCATGTCTGTGATTATGCAACGATATATTGCACAGATACACAGAATGGTTTCATCAGAAAATAGGCTTATTCAGACCTTTCCAGATTTCAATATGTGACAGGATTTCCAATCATATATCTTTTCTGTCGAAACTTTGAGCATCCCCTTCAAACATTATTCTTAATTAAAAGCACCGAAAGAACAGTCAGTAACATCATATTTTTTAATTGTGTCAACGAAATTAAGAGCTTCCAGAACATCTGTAGTGGATTACTTGTTCATATAATTTGTATTTGGCTTATAATTACAGTTCTGTGTTAACATAATACATTCCATGTGTCGTTCAATGTAACTACAAAAAACGAGCTGCATAATAAACATGATTAAGTTTTTGCCAGAATGTGCACTTGAAAAGAGTAATATTAAAGAGTAATAGATTACACGAAGTATTTTACGGTTATCTATTGTACCAGGGAAAATTGAGTGAAGACATAAACGTACGGAAGCCGACATATTTATGTTTTCCTATTCTTGTCGTAAACTTGAACGATTTCCAGGTAAAGAACACTCAACACAAAATCAAAACTAGCATTTCAACAATAGAACGGACCAATCAAATAATAAATTTCGGTCATCAGTATCGATTATCTGTATCAATTATCATTCACTTTGAGGTCTGTTTTCCCAGCAGTATCAATATATATGTTTCATATTGTCAAAACGTATACGGTTTCTCATCATTAAACAATGGTACAACAATAAAACATATCGGATATCATTGATTAAACTTTATAATATACAGTATCATTCATGTAAAGATGATAAAAGAATAAAGTCTTCCCTCAGATGACAATAGCTGTTATTTCATAGACAAACATAAATGTAAAGTGGACGAAATAAAACAAAAAATGATAAGAAAAAATAAAATATATGACTACATAGAAAAAACTGTAGGGGCCTCCGGCGATCTAACATCTTTAGGTAATAGGGATAGATAGTACACGTATGTACATATATTCACATTAAAACTATTCCTGATTTGCACATGTGTTTTAAAGACATTTGCCAGCATGATATATGTCATCACGTTCAACTAACGCGATATCTTTGTTGAAGGAAATTTTCCTTGGTGTATGATAATATGGAAACGAGAATATTCTCCTGCAATTTAACACCACTCCCTCTAAGCAATGTGAAGTTGACAATGAAGTGAAGACAGGAAAATGTTTATCACAACGTGGTACCTAATGTCTGAATGAGTGGATGATATTTAACACACGCTGTTAATCAGGTATATGATGGGGCTTAAGCACTGTTGCTTACTACTGCACGTTTGACCTAGCAGCAATGTAGAAAATGCATGTCAATGATGTCTAGCACTCATTTTACCTCCTATCCCGAGTAGATTTGACATGACCTACCCGAAAATACGTTATCTAGAATAGCTGACGTATTCTTTATTATAAACGATATCAGAATTTTATTGGAATACTCTTAAATA